GTCTTCTGTGCATGAGCTTCAAAGGAAACCATATTTAGTCCTCTAGGACAGTAAAAAGATTGTTTGAAGTTAGTAAAACACATGTGTAAGTACTGGCAGGCTCTGGGCTTTTATCCTCAGTGAATACAAATGTCTTACCATGTTAGAAGTCATTACTGTTTAGTAATAATAGTTGCAAATACTTGAAGCAGATAGCCTTCGAAATATGCTGGCTTGAGTGGCTGACTATACTATACAACTTTTGTTTGTTTCTATATATTCTGGAAGGATATTAACATATCTTTTAAAGTGTTTAAGCCTTTTTGTCCTTTCCTGCTTTTGAAAGGGGAAAAAGCATGTTTCCATGTCAACTAACACATTTTTTCACATATATTAAGACCATTGTGTAATTGAGATTTTTTCACCATAAGGTGTTGAAGGTCAAGAAGACTCCTGTTAGATAGTCTTAACTAGTTAGAGTTTTAAAATGCAGATCATCAGTCCACTGTCACTGAACATGATCAGTGACATGTAAGTAGATGTTCTTGGAAAATTATTCTTTTTGTGGCTAAATTTGATGCCCAAATTTATTCCACAGAGATGCACAATTAAGTACTTGGAGGAGTTAGAGTTGCCGCTGCAGAATAGATAACCTGACTTTGGTGAGAAAGCCTCAGCTCAGCCAGTTTCCAGCACTAGGAAGGTTCAGGCCAGCCAGTCATTAGTAGAGTGCCCTCCACCTTACATGTGGCCACCAAGATGACTTCACACGTGGTATTTGATGGTCTAAGAAGTGTCAGGAGAAGAGCTGATGACCTGAGGACAATTTGCCTCTGCTGTATATGGGTTTGCTTTCCTTATTAGTTGACTGACTGTGCATGTTTCATTTAAGCTTTTAGTATTCAGAGGGCAAGCTGGGTGGAAGCACTCGCATTTTTCTTTTTTTTCTGTTTCTGAGGAAATCCGGGTTAATTTCCCTCAAAAAGAAAAAAAAACACAAAACAACCAACAAACCAACACCCCCCCGCCCCCCCCCCCCCAAAAAAAAAAAAAAAAAAAAAACCAAAAAAGCCCACACTGAAATTGTTGGCCAGTTTTGATTATAAACCTACCATGTTATTTAGTTTATTATTTTTCCAGGGCATGTGACCTGTCTTTAAAGCAGTTCTTATAAAATCTCCTACAAATCAGGAGAACTCAAACCTATGAAAAAATTGTCACTTTTTTGCCAATAACAGTTGTCCTGGGTTTAGCAGTAGCAGCCATTTTTCTCCTTCTTAGTAGCTGGTGCAGTGCTGTGTTTTTGACTTTCAGCCTTGGAACAGTGCTGATAACACCAATGTTTTTATTTGCTGCTTAGTAACGTTTACTCTGACCAAGGACTTTGTGAGTCTCATGCTCTGCCAGGGAGGAGGGGAAGCCGGAAGGAAGCAGAGACAGGACACCTGACCCAAACTAGCCAAAGGGGTATTCCATGCCACAGCATGTCATGCCCAGTATATAAACTGGGGGCAGTTACCCGGAAGGGCTAGATCACTGCTCCGGTCGGGCTGGGTATCGGTCAGCAGGTGGTGAGCAGTTGTGTTCTCTTCGCCTGTTATTGTTTTTTCCTTTATCATTATTGGTGGTAGCATCAGTGGTTTCTGTTATACCTTAGTTACTGGACTGTTCTTATCTCAATCCATGGGAGTTACATTCTTTCGATTCTCCTCCCCATCCCTCCGGGAGCAGGGGAAAGGAAGGTTGGGGAGTGAGAGAGTGGCTGCGTGGTTCTGATTTACAGCTGGGCTTAAACCACGACAACAGTATTTCGTCTTAACCATTTAATTATATTTAAAAGCAGGAAAGACGCAAGAGAGTCCTTATAATGGTGATGATATGGACAGGCACCATATGATGGACCTTCTATTATAGGTGACAGTTTCTGTTTAATCTTTCAGTGTAAACTAATGAGCAAACTTCTACTACATGCAAAATGTATGAGGAGAGGGGGAGGGGAGGAACCCAGAACATATAAACCCATGTATTTCAATTTATACTTACTAGTGAATAAGCTTAAATTATCATAACACAACTTCAATCATTATAATGCTATTCTTTTTATTGTAAGAGCCAAAGTAATTAATCTCTATATTTACAATCCTTGTCTATGATTAGTTTTCTGTCACAGGATGTGGTGAGTCTGTGCTGTTATGACTGTATTTTATTTAATAATATTTTCTTACACAGTGCTGAATGCTTCCCTCTGAAGAAGCTGAATGGACAAATCCATGAAGATATCTTACATTTTTCCTGACAGTGAATGATGTTTCCATGTATAAACATAATAATAGAGTCATTACATATGCACTCACATTATCATAGCTGCTGTGTGCTCAGTGTTATTCTGAACAAGGCAGGAAGCCAAATCTTCCAAGTTCCCATTTTGATTTAAATTGTAATAAAGGGATTTTCATTCAACTAAAATGAAGTTTTCTCCTAGTCCAACAAACCTCCCCACTTCATTTTTTTAAAATTGTTATTATTTTTCCTTTATTCTAGGTCAGTCAGTCCTGACACAAGTGAAATTCTCCTCTGGTGGTGACAACAGCAGTGCTACTCAATGAACTGTAACAAGGGCGTTAAATGCATCTCCTGTAGCATACCACAGTGATTTGCAAAAGTGGGAATAAATCAAAGCAGTGAAGAGGTGCCATGTTGAGCCAGAAGCTAAATGTTACATCTTGTTGCATGAGGCTAGGGGAAGAACAGATCCTGTTTTTCTGGCAGCACAATATCTTTGTGCTCGTTACCTCCGATCCAACCCCATTAAAACAATCGTTCAGAATCTGCAGGAAATTGTCACCTCTTTCTTTGATGCAATGGCAGCTGGTATTGGTGCCTACACACATTTCTTATTTCCTTCAAGATTTTCAACACACATAAAAAAAAGAAACTTAATTTATATTAAAAAATGTGTCAGCTTACCCTGAGGCTCAGCACGGGCACCAGGGGAAAAAATAAAAGATAAATGTCTCTAGGTGAACTGGCAGAGGCTCTAATTCTCCACTTACTCTACTGCTACACAGTATGCACCGCATTAATCATTTCACATAGGCAGGCATTTAAAAATACTTCAACAATTTTAAAACAAAGATTCATTGCCCTAAACTTAATAATAATACAACTGTATCTTGTACAGCAATCTCTGTTCACACATACTCTATCCCCTAATAGAAGAGGTATAAAATAATATGGAGTCTTCTGGGACATAAATTTTATTATTCTGTTTCTTTTGTCTGTGCAGTTATGTCCCCTCTAGTGGGCATTTTGTGTGTATGTGTATAAGTATACATATATAATGTTATCATTTGTCTTACTTGAGTGTTGACATACACAGGATGTTTTCTACCTTCTGGTTTTATTGTGTGGCTGAGTAAATGTATTATAGGATGCTAGTTAACACCTCAGTCCAACTCAAATATAGTTTCTTTAATTTTCTGTGCTGGAGAATAGGGAAATATGATTCTCCTTTTTCTAGCTTATGTGGATGTTACAACATTCCCATATTTTATATTTTGCTTCTCCCTCATTCCAAAATTATCCTGTGCTCCATGTGCTTAATAGTGCTAAAGTCATAAAGCTAAGTACAAGTAGTACTTGAGGGTGCAAGGTGGAAGACAACAAGCAAGGGCCTACAGGACAGCTGTAACACCTCTTCTGGAAAACCCATATGACTGGATGTCTATCTGAAGTGCCCGTACACTAACACATGTGGCATGGAGAGGACAGAGATTGACTTCCATGCTTGGAAGGATCCTGTGATGCCCTAGAGAAAAGAGGAGTCTAGGAAAACCGGAAGATTTTCAAGAATTGCCTCTTCAAAAATGATTCCTCTTGAGTGGAGTAAGTCACGCAAAGGTGATAGGACTCCTGCATGGATGAACAAATGCCTCCTGACAAAACTCAAGCACAGAGGAGGTGTACAAGAGGTGGAAGAAGGGACAGGTAATGCAGAAAGAATATAGAGACACTGAGTGTGGAGGGACGGGGTTAGGGAAGCCAAAGCCCACTGGGAGTTGAAGCTGAAAGGTGGAGGGCTAGAAGGGCTGTTACGTGTGCATGAATAGTAAAAGGAAGACTAGGAAAATGTTGGTCCACTTCTGAATAGGATGGGGATGCCAAGGGCCATGGCAAAGGTAGAAGTACTGAGTGACTTTTTCACCTCAGGTAAGGCTGACCTTCAGGGATCACAGGCTTCTCAAACAAGTGGGAAAATCTGAAGCAATTCAGACTTAGTGAAGGAAGATCAGGCAAGGAAGCTTTTAAATAAGCCCATAGAAACTGATGGGATTCACCCACAATTCTGAGGGAGCTGCCCATTCTTCATTATCTTTGAATGGTCATGGCGATGGGATGAGGTCCTGACAACTGTAAGAATGCTCCTGTGTTCAAAGAATAAGCTTTGAGAAAGGGGTTTAGGGTAGATGATCTCTATGGGTGCCTTCCCACTTCAGTCACTCTGTCATATATCTGTGATTCTGTATCTATTAAAGCCCATTCTTCAGTGCCCATGAAGCCATGTGACATTTAAAAGGCTCCTGGAACTTTCTTCCATAGTTTCAGTTGCCTGTCTCAGGACATCCATTTGCTGAGTGCAAAAATTTCTGGAGTCTCCTTAAGCGTACTAATTCTGAGAACATATTAGCTTATGGCATGCACAGCCACCATCACTGTGGAAATGGCAGGTTTAAATGGTGCATGGTTTGGTAAGGAAAAGGATTTGTTGGGCAGTGCACATATAAACAGCATTGCTACAGCACAAAAGGGGATGTGGATATGCATGTTTGTGCAGTGGGAGGCTATAAACAGTGCAAAATCAGAACACCAGGAAGGAAAAAGCTTTGAATGCCTGGGCATGATTTAAACAGCAGGAATGTGAGTATTGCCTGCGGTAGTAGTTTGATCATACACAACAGTGAGGAACAGTTCTAAATGTCCATTTTACTCATGCCTTTTGCTTCAGAGGTTAGTGGTTTGTGGTAGTTTTCACACAGATGTAGATGGATTCACAGCATCATTAAGTAAGAAAGAAGAATCAGCTCTTCAGTTCTTTGAAGGAAAGGCTAAGGATGGAGTCCAAATCTTTAGTGGCCTTAAGATGGCATTTTTCTACTGAAGTTAATGTACCTATGTCAATTTACAGTTCCTAATATCTGGCCTAAATGGTGCAGATTGAGTAGAGGACAGGGGAAAGTGAGATAAAAATACAGGATTTGGTAATACCTATTACACAGTTAAGAAATACAGCCTAGAAACTTTCTTTGTTGTAGTGAAAATGAACTCCTTTTGGATCAATTGATGAATATGAGTTGCATGTCTTTTGAAGGATGTTAGAGAGATTCTCGGGTCCACAGAAGAATACTCCAATACTGTTGCTGTAATTGCAATAACAACGAAAAAATGAAAGTAGGAGAGTAAATGCATAAACTGTACCTTTTGGCTGCCTCCGGCTTTGCATCTTTTGAAATGGCTTTTGAAAAATACATTTGAAAAAACTTGTGATACTATCACAAAGTATTACAGTATAATTATTTTAATACATTAGTGTTTATTATGTCTTACTGCATTGTTTATTTGGATTGCTATGTTAGAGGTCACAATCTGGTTTAAATGGTAGTTATTTGGGTTTGATCTTCATAGTTTTTTTAATCAGGGAAACAAACACACTACTTGTGCTGAAAAAATTTCAGTACATTTCCTCCAGCTAATTTTTACTTTTTCTTTATAAAAATATACCCAAAGTTCTCAGTTACTTCTAAGTTTTCTTCCTCTTTTTTTTTTCTTTTTTTTTTCCCCCTTTTGTTTTAAAATGTTCTGCCTATGGGCAATTTTTAGATGTCTGATTTAATAATAAAATTTGTAAATATGTAGTTCTGGTAAAATAAGGACATGACCAGTGTAACAAATAATTGTGTTCCTAAGCACACAAGTCTGTTACAGCAGGCTGGAAACCTGGTTACTTGTTTCAAAATGCCTTAGAGGGTTTGCTTCTAAGTACATAGCACATATTGCTTTAAAACTTATATATGTACACACAGATGCACATGCTGTGTTGCTGGAGAAAGCTCAATCTATGTACACACAGTGCAAATGACAAGTGACAGCATGAGTTTCAAAAAATTTGCTCCTGTGAAGAAGGGGCTTTAGAAAAGATTTTGGCGCCCAAGTCATAGTCTCCAGAAGTAGTGCCAATGTTACTGTGGTGCTCGAATGCACTAGGTTTAACCTGGAGTGGTATATTCCTGCTAAGCCACTAAAAGATACTGTTGCAGCCAAAGGAAATTCCATGGACCTAAGTGTGGGGATCCAAAATTTAGTCAGCTTGTAAAAGCTGATTGTTCCATCACAGGTCAGAAACTCTTAAGTTTCTTTGCCTCTTGAACCTTCTGTAGCTCAGAACATGAAAAGGTAGGGTATTTTATTTTCTCATGAGAAATCCATATGTCATGCAGGATTTTCTTTAAAAGGTTCAACCATAAACAAGGGCATTTAGGTTCAGAAACAAATGCAGATTTTTGCTGTCATTTTAGCACTGGCTTTCTGAGGAAGTATCACAAGATCCAGTATAGAAAGTTAATGCTCATCTCCCACCTTGAGCATCAGAAAAACAGGTTTTTCTCAGTTGTACTTAACAAAAGCAACAAAGAGTAATATTTAAACTATAACTTTGAAAGCTGTGTTTATGCAGTAGGATCCCCATAAACGGTCTTTCAAAAATCATATTTTCTGCTCTTGGCCTTTTTCTATTTTTAATCTTTCATATTTCCTGATTGTATTTTTTTGACCTCCATCAAGTAGTTTCTCTATTACTGTTATTTTTGCAGTTTTATGGTATTCTTGTAGCTTACTGTATTCTCTTTGATCTTATCCTTTTCAGCTTCTTCTTGGGTCTTTTTCATCTTAAAAAAAAAAAGTTTTCTTCTTTTTGTATCTCTGTGTCCCAAGTGCAAGCCTTTATTTTGTATAAGCAGGTAAATGTTTGGAAATCATAGAGTCACAAAGATTCTGGAATTTTCTACTGCTGAACACAAAATATTTCAAATTCTTGCTTCAAAGGCTTCCAAGAACAAAGAAGCTTTTCTCAGACCAGTAGTGAATCCACCAAGTTCAAATGAACTGTCTTTGCCAGCAGAGATGAACTAATAACAGAACAGCATAGTCTTGCAAGAGCAGCCAAATATGTTAGGGAACAAACATATCCTTGACATCATAAGAAAAAAAAAAATCACAGTTTATCTCTTTAATAACCATCTTCAAGGGAAATTAATGCTACTTTGTCCTTTGTGTAGAACAGTAATTGGATTGTGTGTTTCAATTATATCTGGACAAAGGCCAGGATATTGAAATACTTCTAAATATTAGATTTTCTTGTCCAAAAATTAGATTTTATTGGCATTCTCTTTCCGAGATTTCTTCATTAAAAGCTTCATTAAGCATAAATCTTCTTTCCACACAGGAAAAAATGAAATTATTTTAAAAGGGTCATTTAGAAAGGTTTTCCCTCCCCTTCTCCCACTGTTTATGCTGAGAGAAGAGTTACCTAAACCAACTTAGAAGCCAATCTGCCTTACTTACCTAGGATGGTTTTTGGCTAATTGCTTGAACTCATTGTCCCAGTTTGGCCTTCCATAGTAGGTCTTCTGTCTCAATCCAGTAATTACATCCATCTTGTCATCATAGTGTAGGGCTATGTGAGTAGCCTAAAGGCAAATTTACAAGATAGTAATTTTAGAGTCAACAACATATACTCCAGGTAAGAAGAGAGAGCAATATTGCTGCTTAGCTGTGAGAGATGCAAGTTACTAGAACTGTGAAAAGCACTTCCAAAAGTGTCCAAGGAGTTCAGTTTCCTGAGATGGAATTTTTGAGATGAGCTGGGATTAAACACCTGTCTTTATTAGCCTGGGCCTGAGTGCCTCAGTCACTTTTACAGGCAGCTCTCAGCCTTTAAATATCTCACTCTACACTTTCTTCATTCCAGATCCTGAAGTGACAGTCATCACCATTTTAAGGTTGAGTTGGAGTTTAGGAAAGGGAGTAAAGTGTACTGTAGTAGAGTTTGACAATAAATATTATCACATGCACTTTAAGTAAGTACAGAGCATTTTGCTGCTGATGGAAGAGATGGCGGATGTACCAGTTCAACAGGGATAAAACCCTGAATGTTTTGACTCTTTTCCTTAGGTGGAGGCAGGTGCAAAAGGTGGATCATCTCAGGTGAAGCACTGAACTAAGTGAACTGCACAGCTCCCAGTGCCAAGAAAACAAATCCTGATCTTCATGATCATTTACTGTCTTTCATCCTCTATGCTATGCCCATTACTGTGCTATCTGAGTACTTCTTGGGTGCATTTAAAAACAAAACCACCATCTCTCCTAATTGTGCTGTGACTGTGTAGGAGTAATATGCTTGTTTTCACTACAGACTATCATCATTATTATCACTGTCAAGAAATTACCAGAGCAAAGCTAAGTTAAAAAATGGGCTTTGCATTTAGTTCAGGCCCTAGCATGAACTAGGCATCATTATAATCTCTTGCAGAAGTGGTTGCTGAAATTTATTATGGAATATTGTATATTTCTTGTGCTAATGAGTCTTCCATGTTGCTTAACAGCTCAGTTATTCTGGTCAAGCACAGTTGTCACAAAAGGTCATGCTTCTGAAAGGCTCTTGTTAGTTCAGCCCAATGTCATGGATAACTTGGAATAGTCTAAGAAATAACTGAAAGTGCTTGGGGGAGTGGGAGGTGGGGAACTGTGGGATTTTTTTAATCACTTACAGTGAAATTGTGCCACTGAGCAGATGGGCTATTTCTGTCCACATTAAGTGGAACTTCTCCAGAAATTTTGGTGCTGGCCCTTGCTATTGCTCACAGCATTAAAGTTGCCTAGAAATGTCAGGGGCAGTGTAAGGAGCAATAGGTTGAAACTAAGTTCTTGTTCAAGCAGAGTCAAACATGTGCCATAACTGCCCATCAGTTGCCAACATGGAATCTACAAAGATCTCGAAGCATTGAACAAATATTATATGCAAGGAATAAACACCTGCCAGTAGTGGACAGTGCACTAGAAAGTGTAAATTACCCCTCTTAACTGAGTTCAGCCACACCTGACTACTTGTCAAGACTATGTGGTGAGATAGGGAGAGAATGTAGGTTTTGTTATTTGCTAAGGCACAAGTGAAGTAAAATAAAGCATCATCCAAATATTACTGGTGCTGAAGCTCATATTTTGAGGAGTGATGAACTGGAATTTACTACAGATGCAGTAAGACTTATAAGAAGAAAGAGCTTTGTGGATGCCTGAAGAAGGTGAACCTGTTACCCAGCATATTTCCTTAGAGTTGGTCAGAGTAAGAGGGGTGGCCACTGAAACACATTCCTTTTCCTTCACAACCTTTTAGAGGTAGGGTGATAGGGGCCTTTGGGAGGCGGCACAGCTTCAGGGATGCTCCTGTGTCACCTAACCAGCAGCATGGGATAACGAGGCAGTGCTGACAGGAGACTGGAAAATGGGGTTTGAAGAGAAGAAGGAGGCACTTCAGAAAAGTGTAGGGCACATGAGTGAAGAGTCAGGCATTTCAGCAAGAATAGTTGTCTCCCTACCTGATGTCTGGCCTGATGTTTGCCCAAGAGGGAAGTGGGATGATGACAGTTGAGAGATAAGGGCAACTTTGTGTTTTGTTAAGTTCCTCAATAGTTTTCTTTAAAGCAGGTTTTAGGTAATACCCTGTGATATTGCTAATGCAGAGTGGTCGTTTCTGTAACTGCCATATACTTCACAATGAGAGTAGATTCTTCTGAATACACCTTTATGCACATGCCTCATTACTTGACAGAAACCCGAGGGAAAACAGAAAGAAACAATGTGGGGTTTTTTTTGTGTCAGCAGAGCCAGGAAGGAAAAAGCTCTACAAAATCTATTTTTTTAACCTATGCTAGACAGTCCTTCATTCAACAGAGGCAGCAGGAAATAAAACAGTAAAGAAAAGACTTTTCTGTGAGAGTTTTTCTGGCAGGTGCCTAACTGGTCAAAGTGTGATCCAAGTGATCCATTTAAAGAAAAGAGAAAGTAACTCATTTGGGTCTAGCTAAAGACTAAAGAAGTTGAGTAAAATCACCCTGTCTAAGGACTAAGTGCCTCGAGCTGGGATGATTCAATAAAATTATGAGATGACAAATTTAAAGTCAATCAGAGAAAATGTCTTTTCAAACAATATGAATTAGACCATAGAGTTTGTTGGCAAAATATTCTGAGCATAGCAGGTTTCAAAAATGCACTGTCTGTATATGTGGACAACCAAAATTACAGTAAAGAATAAAGAGTAAATAAAACTAACACTTTTTATATGACCCTCCATATTTCAGAACAAAAATGCCAGAATCTATTTAAAGACCATTCTAGAGATGTGGACAAAGTGTCCCTTCACAAGCTCCTGAAAGGCTCTGCACTTTTCTGTGAGACATCTGGTAATCAGTGCTCCCCAAGACAAGATATAGGACTGGAAAGATGGCTGGCCTGATTTCTCCATTCCTGTTTTCCTAAATGCAAGATGCAAACAGACAGCTTGGTGTCTTTATATTTACAATCCTTCAGGTCTCTGCTCCATCCATCATTTATTCAACTGTTCCTGTTCCATATGTTACCATACTGGAAAAGCAAGGTACATTAACTCAGACTCATAAGAGTTTCATTATTACCTGACTTTCATCCCAGCCTGTAAGAGATATACGATAGCTTAGAAAATCATTTTTCCCTTTTTCAGCCATTTTTGATTCCAAATGGAACAGAAGATCAGCAAACCACTCAAATGCTGATGGGTCTCTAGAAATCCAGTAAAAATAAACCTGTCAGATAAAAGTAAATAGATTTAACAAGAAGCAAAATTTCAGTCAAACTTCTTAATGATTGGCTCAATTCATTAATCAATAGTGTGCGACTCTTCTCCACTATAAAATTTAAACATAATTGCACATCATTTTGATTATGTAGTTTCTATCTCTTAAAAATTTCATCTTAAACATTGAGTTAATATATTAATGCACTAGTGAAGGTAGGCAGTATACATCTCCCCTTGCCAGTGCATCTCAACTTTGACTTACAATGCCTAATGCTGCATTTCTTGGAAACAACTTCATTATTCCTTAAAATTTTGGATTTATTTTGAGTTATGTTTAAAATGGAATTTCAGTTTCTCAAAACCTTAATGCCATAGGTTAACAGTTGAAGTGCTGAAAAGATAGAGTTATGTCCTTTAAGTCAGATGCCCTGTATAAAACAGGGTATAACATGTCCCTACTTCTTTTATAATGTATTTCTTGTTTAAATTTGAGCACATAATTTCTAGACAAACATGAAGTTCTAATTTTAAAGTTGCTAGAGGGGTAAATTGAACCACTATCCCATGACTGGTTTTCTATTGGTTGAAAACCTCCTCTCTATGAAAAATTTACACAGTTTTTCTCATCCAGATTTCTCTAGCTTCTTCTTCCATATGCTGGATCTGTTATAGTTGTCTATTGATTTGGAGACCCTGTTATTAAAGTTTTGTTCCGCAGGTAGGAATTAGAGACTGGCATCTATATAGTCATACTATAATCCTCTCGATAAACCAAACATTCCTGGGATCTGTCACTGAGAGACTAATTTTTCATCCTTAAAATATTCCTGTGGCTTGTTTCTGTCTGTTCCTCCTTGACTGCAGTCAGTTAGAAGCAAAGCAGAGAGTTTATCTTTTAAAAAGCTAATTCATTAGGATCTTGGCATAGGGTAATGCTTGCATAGGGAATAAAGTATTTCAAACAAGATTGTTAGTCAGTGTCCATATGATGAGAGTTTCTATTTCAGGAGTTATTGATGTGGCATTTTCAGCTGGATCAGCTGAGACTCCTCCAAACCCTTTTTCTGCTCGGTTCTTATAGCCAGTTGGCCCAGGCACTGCTGTGACCACTCAAGCATGTGCATGATATAATGTGATCTATTGCCCTTTACATACAAAGCATTTTCTAGCTAATTAACTATGTATAAATGACTGTCCTGTGTGACCACTCCTGCATGAACAGTTTCTGCTGACCATTTGCAAATGTCTTATCTGTGAACAAGTTCATCAGTTTTGCAGCAGGAACTATCTGTGGAGCCTTGGGACTGATGAGATTCCCTTCTCAGGATCTGAAATAACACACTAAGACATAGGTTGTCCCAGGCCGAGCAGGAGCTACCTCAGGGAGTCTTCAGGGCAGTCAAAATTTTCTACCTGGAAATCTCCTCCAGCAATGCTGTGCTGCACAGGGGAGTGGGAGCACAGCCCTTCCCCTGATTTCAGCTCCATTCCTTGTCTCAGGGAGGTCCAGATGTGCAGTTGACTAGACTGGGAGTTCCTTCAGCACCCAGAGAATGAACGGCTGAAGTTCCCTGGCTGGCTGTCTAGGCACCACCCTGGTGCCCAGCTGAACCACAATTACAAGGCAAATCTGACTGCCATTTTTAGAACTTGAATTCTGTAGCTCTTGCCATGCAATCCATCATTACTTTTGAACAGAGGCTGCCAGACCTTGAATGGGCCTCTGTGAACAGTGTAATTTTGAGTGTAATTATTTTTATAGTGCCTCCAAAGAAGTAATTCACAAACACAGTGGAAACCTGAAAATGCACAATTTCAGGTTAAGAAGGAATGGCACTGAGGGCAATGTATAAGCTTATAACAAAGGGGTGGTTGGAACTTTTTTCATTGGAACTGTGATTTTTATTTTGTCGCAAAAGTCCCTTCATTTCCTCCAACCCATCTCACTCTGTGCTCACCAGTCCCTCTGTCTTTTATTATGCCTCAATGTCAAAGGTAATCTGAAAGGTCTGTCCCTAGGGCAATCATTGTGGGAGCTCTGATGTTTTGGAAATTGTAGCCCTTTTCTGTAGGATCAATGAGATAAAGATGCATATTAGACACTTCTGAAGTGAAAAAATCAGAGAAGAAACCAGAGAGCTATAGAGAGGCTTCCCAAAGATTTAATATACTGGCTTGTCAGACTTCTGGTGAGGTGGTGGGAGAAAAATGTGGTAACACCATGATTCACTGGAGATTTGGTGACAGAGACGAACAGTAATTTGAGATGTTTCCTAGATCTGAGTGTACTGTAAGGGACCATCTGTGGTTTCTGTGAGAAATATAAATGAAGTATGATCCCAGGAAACAGAGATAAAGTATTCAGGGTTAAGTAGTGTATTTTTACAGCCCAGGAATAGGACTGCCTGCAGAATTTTAGTACAAACCATCTTGGCTGTTTGCTTTTTCCCCTCCTATTTCAATGTTTTCCCTTAAATATGACCTTATTACTTTACAGGGGTGTTGCTGCTGATTTACACTGGCATGCATAAGGAGGAGAAAGCCCACTCACTTTATAGCATTTCATTTCTGTGACCAACAATAGCATTATTTTAAATTACCCAAACTCAGTAAGATTTAGAGCCTTAACCTTTATGTATTTTTTTGTGTCTGAATCCTGAATTTCCTGCTTGTTTCACATCCTCAGCACCTCAAAAATCAGCCCACTGAGTGCTGTCAGTCTGTATCATACCACGGCTGTTGATTTGTAGTGAGAAATTTCTTCCTCCAGCCTCTACTTGATCAGCTTATTTCTCAAGTCTTTTCAGCAGTTCATTTTATGGAAACGTATATTTAGTACATGTGTATGGAGTGCTTCTAAATGAATAATGAATTGTGCATGGGGTAGCAATTGGGAGCATGTAGGCAGGACTGAGAGCCAAGCACATTCAGGGAAGGAGGAAGAAAAGCTAGGTGATGAGCTGAGATGATGCGGTCTTCCCCCAAATGGGGGGCTGGTTTCCAGAATATCAGGCTATGGAGCTTGAAGGAATGCTTTTAGCTGATTGCAAACCTAGCTGTTACAGTAACAGCCAGTCCAACTGAATTGGGTCAAGCCTCCTCTGTCGCAGTCCTCTCAATAAAAGATGTAGCTTTCTGAAGCTGCAATAATTCCTTAAACTCATCCCTGGTGTGGTTCTGCTGAAGCAGTACCCCTTGCACTGCTGCTGATTTTCATGTTTGAGTTGGAAAGCATTTGGTAATGAAGAAAGACTGGCACTATAAGAAGTATTTTGTGCCAGGATTATAATCTTAGGCAGAAAAGAGGTAATGAAGAAGGATGGCCCATGGGCAAAAAGTTCCTGTTCCCCTTAGATCAAAGAGGACTTCTAGTATAACATGCTAAAATAAATGGTGTTTACAGAGAAGTCTTCCTTTCTTTACACTGACTGCCCATAGCATAGCATAACATATTACATATATAATTAAAATACAATAAATGCACAATAAAATTAATCCTTATTAAAACTGTAGAATAAGGCCAGCATCAGTGCATTCTATAATTAAACAATTATTCTGAATCTTTTTTTTCTTTTTGTAAGCCTCATGCTATTAACTGACTACAATTATTTAGGACCCTTAAAATCTGTTTTAGATATATTTTTCATTAGTCTCCACCCACGCTACCCCCATTGACTACATTCATCAGCTTGATGGCTTGCCCAAGTAAACTGTCTTAAATTTTCCAAGTGCTCTTTTTGCAAATCGAGTTAGATGCAGTATTGCTATTAATCAGATCCATAATGCAGGGTTATGAGTAGCTGCTTATTTAATACTCTGCTCTCTTACAATGTGTACATATTTATCATTCAGTTTCCCACATCCTGAGTGTTGTACAACAGATTAGAGCAAGAGTTCTGATACCTCTTTCCTGTAAGGTGAGAAAAGGTACCTTGTAAATCAGCTTCCATCATGTGGAAAGTCATTAATAATTATCCGTTAATGACCATCCATCTGTTTCTCCCTGAAGACAGAGGTGGAGCAGCAGCTCTGGGCAAAGCCAGCTTTTCATCAAAGGGTTGTAAAAGGTGATGAAGCAGGGGATGCACAGGGAGGCATCTTCATCCCTGACTTTCATTTCTCCCTCTTAGACAGGACTAGTCCCTGCAAAACCTTCTTACACATTGCACCTGAGTACCTCCCTGCAAAACCCCAGTCCTTTCTGCTCCTGAGTATATCACACTACCTGTGGGCTGCAGCATACCAGAGCATCTGACATCTTCTTCAGCCTAATCAATGGACCCAGTGGAACACTAGAGGTAAGATGCAACAGTGCCTGCAGCCTGGAGCATGCAGGGGAGGATGGGGGTTTGCACACCTACACGAGGCACTGACTTAGAGCTAGGGTGGCAGCAAGCAGCCTTTTGTGTAAATGCAGGACAAGGCTTGAATTCATGCCTCTAAATTTGAAGCAGGAGTCCTAACTGTTCTCAAATGCAGCTCTGAAAGATGGTTATGTTTGACAGAGAAAAAGAGCCCAGGTTTTTAGGTCTTTGGGGGAAGATGTTTTGTGGAGAAGGCTGTGGACTAGGGTAGAGCTGGCAGCAGAAGCTTACCTCAGGCAAGGACAGTTGGTCTCAAAGCAAATGGAAAAGGCTAGTTTTGTTTTCCTCACAGTCTGTAGTTGAACTTACTACCACAGCATGCTCTGGTTGTCTAATGTCTGCATGGATTCAAACAGCAGTTATACAAATTCATGGAAGAAAAAACTGCTAAGGATATTAAGCAGAGAGCTGCAGCTCTTGTATCAAGACATTACTGAACTGGAAGTCGCTCAAAGTCAAGAAAGTGTCCACTGAAGACTTATCACCATATGATTTTTTGGGCTGTATACTTCTCCCTAGGCATTCATGAAGAGCCACTGTTGGAGACAGGATTTTGGGCTAGATGGATCTTTGGTGATAATCAGTAGGACGTTTCTTACATCCTTGTATAGGGTAAAAGTGAAAGTGGGTGTTTGCTAGTATTAGTGTCTGATGGATCAGTATGATTTCATCAGTTTCAGCATTAATTGATCTGAAAAATGAGACCACTAATGTGAAAGAAAGATCATTTTACGCATAACTAAAGCTGGTAGAAACTTTCCAGCCATGACTAGTAGTAGTGCCCTTCCTCACTACAGAAAAATGACAAGGAAATTAAGGCTCCAAGACTATTTAATTGTGAAGAATCAATTAGATAAATGTGTATTCCTTTTGATTTGCTGGGTTTTTTAAATTATACAGCTGCAGACATTAGGGAAGCTATGAGTATTTATATCTGAACCATATGTGGGCAACACTAAGAAATATTAGTTCAATGAGCGTAATGATAGCTGTACTCAAATCAAAACGAAGTTGTTAAAAAAAGAAAAACCTCTTATTTATTTCCTTAATAGACATTTCTATGGTACTCATCATGGCAGAAAGAGAGTGCTGAATACTTTGAGGAAGATTAAATTATTTGTAATTATACCACAAGTGGAAGCTTTTAACCAATGGGAAAAAAAAATAAATGTAGAGCTACCCTGAGATTAATCGCTCTTACTAAGATGACTGCTAAATTTTTTAAGTATTGCTGTGAACTTCCCCAGGACCTTTCATCCAGGCTTTCAAAATATTTTACAAGCACCAATGCAGTTTAGCCTCTTAACACCTGTGAAAAATAAGCATCACTGTTCCCACTGCACCAGTAAGGATGCAGAGAAAGGACATGGAGAAATCATGGTACTTTTGTATTTCACAAGAATTCAGGAAAACTGAACTCTATAGCGGAAAAAATGTGGCAGAATGCACCATGCATTTATATTTGCAGGCACACTTACCCAAGATTTTCCCTAACCTATGGATGAACACCCTGAAGTATATTATACTCTCAATGCATAGTTAAATTCTGTTGTTTTCCCTGTAAGATAGCAACAGCAATGACAATAAGAACAATTTTACTTGTACACATATAGAATATACAGGATACACATATCTAATGTGCATATAAGTATATTTAGTTCTCTTGGAGACGATAATTCTGGTACAATCATAGTGTTTGCAAATACACTTCACATCTAACACATTTTCATTTATATTTCCCTCCCTTCTCACTGCTTTTTCTGCCTCAAAGATCCCCCCTGGCAATTTGAACCTGTCCTCAACTGCTCAGTTACTAAAATCCCAGATGCCTTTTCAGTGGCAGCTTGTCATTAAGATGCCAGTTTTAACACTCTTTCATTTAAAAAGATCAGCCCGTGGGTCCTGCAGTCAGCTCCATATGTACTGACCCTCTCAGAGATCTGTCTACTCCAATGTAATTTCAACATTTGTCCTTAAATGTGAATGAGGAACAGTTCCTGATTCAGCTTTTACGTTGGAAAATTAGCTAAAAGAAACTCTAAGGTCCACAACCAACCACTTATTATGATAGATAGGGAACAAGGTCTTTAATGCTGATTTTCTTTTCTGTTACTTACTTACCCCTCTCCCTACTTCACCCGTATTATCTCTTGTCTATCCTTCCCCAGTGCTGTTTCATGTATCCTTAGCAGAAGATGTATAACAGGTAAGCAGATCGAGAGTATGTTAACTTAATTGGTTCCATCCATGCCTTACAGACCCCAATATATTTCTTCAACAGAATGATTAAAGTGGTTTGAAGCAGTAATATGCATCTTGATATGTGCACCTCATCCAGAGCTTAAATGCCTTTTTTTTATTCCTTCTATGCCTGAAAATATCCTGACTTTGCAAGGTGTGAAAAGCAGATAATGGTTCCTGAATGCAGCATTCTCAACCAGGACAAGCAGCCAAAGGGCCCCATGAAACCTAGAGCTGGACAAGGAACAAGTGCCACCCCTCACTTCTGTCTGAGATGACCTTGGAGGATTTATTTTTCGTAGGAGAGAGGTCAGATTTCTATTCGAGCTCTCAGTCTATCTGTGCAGCTATGAAAGATGTTCCACGTTTATCTCCAGTTGCTATTGAAAACTGAATTCTTCAGTTTTTACTAAAAACACTGCAGCTAGAGCTACCTTCTTCCTCAGAGAATGACAGTGAATTCAGGAGACCCTACCCAACAACACCTCCTGACACAACTGGAAAATGACTGCCTGCTTCTGAGAGCGAGTTAAAGCACTCAAATGAGTCTCCAGCTCTGAATTGCCTCTCTCATCTGGTGAAATAGGTTTGTTTGTGTAACTTTTTGATGGACCGATAAACTTCCCTACATACCTTCTGCAGCACCAGTTCTGTTAGGGTTGCAGGATTTGTACCAAATGGATTTTAAAATAGAGGCAAATGGTGTGACTCCAATTCCTGCTGCAATGCACACACTCACTTGGTAGTGGAAGACATCTGTGGTTGCTGATCCATATGGTCCATCCACAGCCAGTCTACAGCATCAGACATTTAGTCAAGGGTCAGCAACATGTAAAATGACAGAAAGGTTACCATTTGTTGGGCTACATATTTTCAAAACTGACACTGTTAAAATAAAAGAGAAAAGACATGTCTAAGATGGCACAGAAATTACCCATAGAAACGCATTTAATTTTCAGTGGGGGCAATTTAATAGCAAAACAACTGATTTTTCTGAAGTGAGAGAACAAGAGCACCCATGTGGGTTTGAGGCCTGGCCATCTATTTAAGCATGCAATTGCAATTTTCTGGCTTTCTGAAATGTGATTAGTCATATAATTGCATGTCCAAATTTAGCTGTGGAATTTGCATATTTAATTATGAATTACTGAAAAGCATCCTGGTTTAGAGCTTTATTTTCTGTACTGCGTATATCAAAGTAAAGAGGGACAGATTATACGAATAATTTTGAAAAGTTCTTTATATATGTTAAAGTAATAAAAGAGAAAGCAAGAAAGAGGTCATCGTATGCAAGGAAACTACTTTTTTCCCAGCTCTTTCTGAAAAAAAAAACCCAATATTTTAAAAATACATTTTTGGAAATAAAACTGTATTTAGTATCTGACATAAAGGTAAAATATAAGTAAAATGCTTGTTTATGTTACTACCTCCTATAATTAAGGTTGCTGATGCTGAGGCATTCATTTTGGTCAGTATTAGAAATGAAAAAGTTTATTAAATAATCAGATTCATTCCTCTAGCAGCATGAATGTGAATATATGCAGTACTTTGGAGATCTCTGTCTAGCCTGTCTTTAAACAATGTAAGTGTTCTGGAAGATGGTTTCACAAACACCCAGTCCTTAGGAAAAATTATTTTTTTCCTTCTTTCAGATTTTGTATTGTTTTGTGCACTTTATTGCATTAATCATCTTTAAAGTTCAGCTTAAATACACAAGAAGAATGAAATGCTCTAACAGGAAAAGATGGAGGGATCACCAAGTAATTGGTACACACAAATATGGAGAAACAATGTATCTGAAACCCTATCATTGCTTTCTTAATGTGTACCAAAGTCTTAGCAAGTATCTTCCCCTTCATTTGTACTTGTCACTTTTATTTCAAGATTCCAGATGCTCTGCATGTGCTGTATCAAATGAAACAGCTACTCAGGGTTGACTTCTGGAAAACTGGCATCTGATATAAACAAAATAATATTTAAAAAAAAATTGTATTGTTATTTGTATTATTGCCCAGTTCTATACTTTTTAAACACTTTTAACACTGTAAAATATGATTAATTTAGGGTATATATGTGAAGTGCCTGTGTGAAACTGAGCTTTCTATGAAGTTCAGTGTGGGTTTGGAAGCAATTCTCATTATTGTTAGTAGATTGAGAAAAAAATCATTGCGAAGGAATTTGAAGAGGTTATTTAAACTGTTTCTCTGATACAAGACAGATCAATGACTTCTGAATCATTCCTTACAGACATTTGTCTCATCAGTCTGCTCCTAACTCCTTAGGTGACAGAGAACTTGTTATTGGTTTGAACACATTGCTCAGCTGTAGCTAGAGAGCTTAGCCAAATACAATGGCTCAGAGAAATAGGAGAAAACAGAGAAAGATAAACTGAGCTGTACAACCCATTCATTTGATCTAGAGGGGGTGGAGAAAGGTAAGAAGATAGGAAGCAGAATGAAAACAAATGCTACCTTTGTGCTTGCCAAGGGAGGAGTAGAAAATAGGGCTATAGACTGGTTCTAACTATGCATTGGATTGTTCGTATTCTTTGTGTCCATCTACACAATTTGATTATAAAGAAGCTTTATACTTTTGGGGAAGGCAGGTATTAGTTTTGGAAAAGTAACAATAACGGACTCTTGTACTATTTTTAGAATTTAAACATTTGCTCATCATCATGATTGTGTAGTACTCCTGACTGTAAGAGAAGTTAGATTTTTGGACAATGTGCTAAAACAGCAATTAAGTGAGCCAAAAATCCCAAAGATGCATAATACAGAACTTGATTATTTTTACAGCAATAGTCTTTTTTATGGTCTTATCTCCCAAATTGGCCATAAATCACAGCTAACTGTCTTTACTACCTATATATATGTACGTACCTTTTATTTTAGTCTTCTTTTATTACTTACAATATAAAGGTTTTATTTTTAGAACCTTACCTTATCTTTCAGTTTCTAAAGATCTTCTATCCTCTGCTCAGTTTCTGCTGTTATTTTTAATATAGTCACCAATTTGTTGTTTAGATATTGAAACCTTTGGAAAAGACTTGCTTTTTTTTTTCTGCTTTTTTTGCTAGCTTAACTACTGAAATATTCTTTTTAATATATTGCAGGAAAGCAACTGAATGATGGCATTAGGCGCCTTAAAAAGATTAAAAAGAAGAGTCTTTATATACAACACCACTGTTAATTTCAGCTCTGCATTGTTGCCAGCAGCATTTGATAACAGTTTTTCTCGTTCTGTACACTGGTTGTCAATCACCTTGGACCATTTTTGCTCCAGTTGTGGTGAAATGGTATACTTCTCATTCCAGTTGCCTTTAACAAAGGTGTGTCTTTCAGTTGTAATTTTTATTAACTGATACAATGCAAGAACTGGAACAGACTTTCTTCTCTGCCCTTACCTTCTAGTATGCCTCTGCAGCTCAGTTCTATCTATAAGCTTTTGGGGGGAATGTTCTCTAACATCCAAGTCCCATTAAATTATATAAATCCAGTTAAACAAGTGCCTTTTGCCATTCAGTTTTACTTGAACTGCTTCATCAAAAGCAATTTTCCAGGGGGAAAATAGGCCTTTCGGTCCCAGGCTCTACACACTCCACCAGAATTGAAATGATCCTGTGCCAGACCTTTCTTTGCTGAAAATCGCCACTATGCCTGCAAGGAGCTACATGGTTTGAATCCATTATGTATAAAGCCAGATGCTTAGCTGGTGTAGGTCAGGGTGGCTCCATTAACTTCAGAGGAGCCCTCCTGACTTGCAACAACAAAGCATCAACATTTTGCTTGGATTAAGTTGTCACAGATACAGAATTTGAACACCAGTAACCAGTGGAGCAGAGTTTGAAAATTAGAGACAGAGCTGAGGGACACTGTTGGAAAGAAATAAGGTTCAAGCATAAGTTTCTGGGGCCATATGTCTAAGTAATGAAAAATGTCTAAGTAAGTGAAAGGGAAAAGCTGGAATTTTGGATAGCAGGGGATGGGTGCCATGAGAGCATAAACATAGAGGCACAAAAGTAGCAGACAGATTCCAGTGTTGTTCTAATTCAGCTCTTAATCTGTCAAAATGGATTACTTTAGGTGTAGATACAGAGGTTAGAGATTTAAATGATAGTGACAGAGATATAGATATGGATATGGACTTTAAATCTTGGATTAGTCATCATGTCTTCTTGGTAGCTGTGGCCAAAGTTCATGACTGTGTTTTTCTGCATTCTTTTCAGCATAATGGCATATTTTGTATCCAGAACTACTATCTAATACTCTAACATAAAGAACACATACAAAATTCATGAAATTTAAAATATTAACATTTATTTTAAAATGCAGAATTAACATTTTTAAATGTATTTTCTGTAAATCAAACCTTGGTAACATCCACAATTCCTTGAAAGCTTTTTCCTGTGCTCCGAAGGCCTTGAAGAGGGCTGCAGTCCAATCCCCAATGACCTGTATGTGAACACTGAAGAAGTCCTCCTCAGGAGCTGAGGTGAGGGTGAAAGGGTGCCACTCCAGCCATGAGACAGATGAGCACTGTAGAAAGATATATTGACCAGGTCCCATTTTAAAGCCACATTTTTAAAGCCACATTTTTAAAGCCACATTTTCTCCATGTGGAGCTCAAGGACTCCAGAGGAATACATCACCACCTAAACAGTAATAAAACAACCTGTTTTATTTTCCTTCAGAAGAATAGCTGTTTGTTTTCATTAAGTTACAGGTGACTTTGCAATCACTTCTACTTGAGTTCAACAACAAGTTAATGCAAATTGGTATGCACAGTAATTATTAAGTGTCTTGTAGTTTATATCCTAAACTGCACATTGCAGTGCTGGTATTGCCCAGTAGCTTGAGAACACGTACAACGTGTATCGTGGGGCAGCTTGCTTTGTGAGTGTAAGAGGCAGAGGAAATGCTGTAACAATTTAAGAGTTTGTGATCTTTCTATTTTAGTTGAGACTCTTCCTTAATAGACTGGAATAATTTCCCACTTTTACTGTTGTGTAACAGTATTAACATGAATGGGATTATTGTTGGTTCAACAAGAAGAATAGCCCTATGAGCTCAATTCTAACATGCTATTATTAAGAGATAATCGCATTTAAGCAGCCAGTTTTGTATGTCACATATACTGAGATTCACAGACCCTCTGTGAAATCAGCAGCAAGATTTATCATCTAACGTGCTTTTCCCCTCACAAAAAAAAAACCCCACAGTTTCTGATCTTTGTCTTGATACATGTGGACTCAGCTACTTCAATAGCACCATTCCCCATCCATTTTGCTGTGACTTATGTAGGCCCTTAGCACACAGAGATATTTACAACTGGGATAAATTGTTACATTGGTATTAATGAAGCTTAGATTATTTATTCTGATAATATAACCCTTAATCTTCTCAGAAGCCTCCAGATTTGAAAGTAAAAACCATGTCTTACTGAAGGCAAGGGCATCTCTCACATTTACTGGTGTGGGACATGGTTTCAGTTCATTAAAAAGAGGGAACCTCTGTGCAGATGTTTGTGTTATGATGGTGTAAAGCCTGGCACTTCATTAATCCAGTCTGGATCTGTATGAGATATTCTTATGGACTTGCTGTTGGAATAAACACAAAATCTGATATTGATACTTGGCTGAAACCACGGTAGTGACGGAAGAGCTGCTGAAGCTAGGAGTGAAAAGTGAGGTCATAAAATGGACAAGTTACCTGTAAAAAAAAGAAATTCATTGACATAGGTTTTTTTTTGTTTTTTTTTTTTGCACAGACATGCAACGTATGTTACGCACCTTAGTAATGATCACCTCCTGTCGATATCTCCAAAACCGAACAATTCTTTCACAGATGTACAACACCACAGGACTTAAAACCCACTTCCAAGCCTGTAGACAGTTGTATATTAAAGAAGAACATTTATTTGAATGTCTACAACAATGCTTTGCATCATTGGCTTAAATCAGCGGGTAGCATAAAATTAATTTGATTTTTCTTCTGTGATTTCTGATTTGCTTTTCTCAAGGGAGTATTTCTGTTGCTACTGTAGCAGTTCTGGCTTTCTTGTGGAACAAACATATGGGACTCCTTCACAGATGCACTCTAAAAGCAGTGCTAATATCCATCTGTATTCTGGCCAAGAAGAGTCCTTTTAAATCTTTTCCTGCTAAAAGGCAAAAGGATTAATGAATTTAGGTGTTACATATAGATATCATTGGACCTGAAGACATAGGGCTGCATACATTTATACAAAATTACCCATAGCCTTATTATTTTTTTCCTCTTCAAAGTCTAAAATATTTCATAAGGGTCAGCTGTTATTGTCAGCTGCAAGTTTTCTGATACTGTATGAGTAAGCATTAAGTCCCAAATATCCAATTAGAGGAACGGCATACATTTCCATTTAATCCATGACTTGTCTCTGTATCAATAAATGTGTTTTTTTTTATCTAGGATACTAAGGTGGTCATACTTTAAGTATTGCAGGTAATTGTTGGGCTTCTACTTGCTAATCTCATGTACTGATCACTATAACAGAGATACTTGGCTATTCAAGTATACTAGCTAACAATTTCACTGACTTGTACTGATAGCTAAGATAATTGGCTGTTATTGAATCTTCATGATTTTTTTTTCTAGAAGAGATACTCTTTTATTTCCATTTTTTTTTAATTACACAGCTCATTCTAGAAAACTGAAGACTCCACAATTGTGTGGCTTTTAAAACCTCCAAAGAGTAACTTTACTTGCTGAAACATTGACTTTGCTCCACAAGCTGGGTAACAGGGGTTATAAAGTATCTTTTATGAGAAGCAAGCCATAAAATTATGTGGCTTCCTTAGAAAGTGCTAAGAGGATGGAGTGGCAATTTCCCAAGGTTAAGTCTTGAAAATTAAATAAAAATATGCATGATTTAATAATGGGAAGCAACCAGCATAAGCCAGAAGATTGTTGGTTAAAGCAGAAGCTCATCACATCCGTTGTCCTTAAATACTACAGGTGTCTCTGCACAGTGGGTAATCTCACGTCTTGAATATATTTGCATATATCAAGCCACAATAATGATGAGACCTGTTTTTCCTCCTTTCCATTTGTGCTACTTGTAAATAAAAGCATGTGACAGGAATGTTAAGGTTGGAGGCTACCCTCTGTGAGCTCAGCTGATGTTTCAAATATGCCATTGCTCCAGCGCAGCAGAGCATTCAGTCCAAAATATCTTTTGGCTGTCTTGGGGCAACAGGGCTACCACCAGGAAGGGTGGGCTGCTAGGAAACAGCTCCTGGCTGACAAATGGGGGCATCAGTATTCTTGCCCAGGTGGTTTTTCCTCCTGTAATGAGAATGAACTGAGATGGACAGTGATGGCTCAGGAGAGGCTGCGAGGATAAAAGTCTGGGCACTCTGCATGCAACAGAAATGCTTCATTGTCCTCAAGCGGGATCCAGATCAGGCTGAAATACGAAGCAGCGGATCGTATGTGACATGACTGAGAGAGGGTCTCTGCCGTGGTAGCCTCCCTTGGGAACCGTGGCCAGCAGGGTGTGCACTGCAGTGTCACCTCGTGCAACTCCAGCTACTTGCAAGGCTGTCCCTTCCCTTCTCAGTCCCATCGGCACCTGCCCCTGCTTGTGCCGCACAAGCTTTGCCACGGCTTTTTAGCCTCTGAATGAATTTGTGCTATCTATCTGCAGGGTCTAGCAAGTATCACGCCATAGTGCGTTACCCATCCAGCAAAGCACTGTTGCACTGTTCTTACAGATGATCTATATGCCATATGGTATTATCACAATTCATTTAAAATAATGTGACTTTGCAAATATGGCCGTGGGTATTCAGGAAAGTCTGGCAAAATAGGTTTAACATAGGGAAGTGGAAGTTCTCTCCAGTTGGCTTTATGATAATGAATATCAAGACATGCTGTTGGAAGCAAAATTGTGTCTGTATTCATGGTGCGTAGCCATGTATTGATTTTTATGGTGACATTGTAGCTGAAATTTTTAGAGAGGCATTCATTTTCTCATTAATATGCAGGTTGGATAGTGGCTAACAATAGTTTAGTTTCAGAAAAATCTGCGTCAGCCATTAAAAGAGCTACAAGACACTGAATGCTAATTTTTCTCCTTTACTTCAGGATTTCCTTTGGTATGTTTTTTTCTTTTTGGAAGAAACAACAAAAACTTGCATATGAGCAAGCTAAATCTTGAGCTGTAAATGTTAAATGATTGTGTTTGGATGCGAGACATCTGACATACTGTACAAGTCTGTACTTAATTACCCCCTGTGGATCTGCAATCTTGTTGCAGGAAAGTCACCCTTCCGTGGGACATTTTTCCTGCCTTTTCCTTTCATAATTCATTGTTTCAATTTCTCTCCTTTTTACCTAACTTAAGACATCAAGGCTGGATGGTATGAAGAATGTGCCCTAAAACAAGGACATAATTTTAACTCTGACTTATTCTCCCATGGTGTTTAGACTATCCATATTAAAGTACAGTTAGTTAGAATAATAATACTAATTTGAATTCCTAGCTTTACTGTTCCATTGTATTTTCTGCATCTCTACCCTCATAAGGTTTTCACGTGGAGCCTATGTTTGTGCAGCAAGCACATCAAGGATATTGTTTATAAATTTATAAATAATTAAAAATAAATGTACAGAAGAGTTTTAAATAGAGTGTAATTCTGAAATCCATACCCTTCATGAAATCCATACAAAGAGAATGTTGCTTACAAAAACGATCTTCCAGAAATAAAAATTGTTATTAATGACACCAAAATTTTATTCATCACTCTTCATCTGTACCTGTCTATACTGATTATAAAAGAGGTCAGGATCACTATTTTAATGCACAGGGAGAGGCCATGGAACAGAAATGTGCAGCTACTCTCTAAACAGTCACTAGCATACACTTCAGCTCCCTGCTCCCTAAGACATTTAGCCTTCCAAGGAAGGACACTGAGTTACAATCAGAAGGCAAACAGCACTCTTACCACAGGTTTGTTGCCAGAAAACTGAGGCAAAAGGCACTGAGTGGCATTTTCCCATTCCAAGTAGTGATCTCTCCAGTAAGTGACGTTGTGGAGCAGCAGACTCTGAGGCGTCTGACCTTGAACAAGCTGACTTAAAAACAAAAATGGCCATCAGTGATATGCTTCTTTGCAAGGTTTCTGTGCATCTGTGCATTTTGAATTACTAGTTAAATTCAGATTTGGAGATAACTGAAAGTTCAAGAACTGGCCATTTCAACCCTGCTCTGCTCTCTTGTCCAAATTACCTTTCCTTTAGCTTTGCCATGACTTTTTTTGACCAAATGCAAAAAGCGCATTATAGTATCGGTATACACCAATGCAGCTGAAGTGTGTAGAGTCCTTGCATAGAGAATGTACATTTTGCTGTTTGTGGCAAAAATCAGAATGATTTCCAAGTTCTTTAGAACACACACTTTGACTTCCTCTCTATATGAGCATCTTGCATTGTTAGAAAAAAAATAAAACTTAATAGTGACAGACCTTCTCTTTGCTGCTTTCTAAATGCATTTTTAAAAGCTGCAAATAAAGTTGGAGTACTGTAATTAGATGTACACTCACTAAACATATTAAATACTAGCTTTTTTACTTCTGAGAATGATATGAATTCTCCCAAACATATAAATCCTGACTGTTCAGTTTAAATGGGTTTCAGCTGGTGTTGATTATGGATAGAGAAGAAAGATTTTTATGGGGAAATGGTGTTTGTTTCATACTCTTCTCTGAATTTTCCATTTTTCCATACATACTTTGGCTCTAAAACACTAGCCAGTCTTGCCCATGAGTCTAACAAGAGACGAGGAGGTAAGAAGTACTGCCTTCTTTTACATGGCAGTGTTATCATGTGCCACCAGTTCAGGCAGAAGGACAGAAAAGAAGGTAGACTTGAGTGAGTTTTGTTCAGTCACATGGGAAGAGAACAAAACCTTGTGTTTTGACTTCTTTTCAGAAATCAGGTAGTGGTAAGGATGTGCTGGGGCAGCAGGGAGCTGCTCTGTTGCAGTGCACTCCCAGTCTGGAGCAAGCAATGTGCTCATTGAATGCTGTTGACAGAGCGGTTAAAGAAGTGTACCCTTTTCAGGGAATTCTCTTGCTGAGGAGTGTCGATCAGCTGGCTGGGCAGAGGGTGCTTGCAAAGCTGGAGGCTTACAGGGTTCATTACAGCTGTTTGAAACTGGATTCTAAAGGATTTGCTGGAGAGAGGGGAAGGGGCCATTTTAATCAGTCCAGGATACAGTTTACCGCATTTGTTTGCAGCTGTGCCTCTGAAACTTGGGAGTAATTAATTGAGCCAATTTCAGGGACACTCAATGCCAAACTGAATGTGGCAGCTCTCAAATTGCAAGGAAAGAGGTGAGAAAAGTAACACACCACAAAACATTGTTATCGCCTGTTCCCTGCTCCACGGAGACGTCATGTACCTCCAGAACACAGACGCAGGCACACGGTACTAGAAAGTTCCTCTGTGTCAGAGAATAGTGGTCTTTAGGCACTTTAGTGGTGGGCAATATCAATCTGCAATCTGACTCCAAGCAAAGATCCCAGCAGTTTGTTAATAGGAAAGCACAGGATTAGAGATTTGAATCGTGTTTCATCTCATACTGTGTACATATACACCATGGAGTTTATTCAGACACTTACCCCATACCATGGATTATTAAACCAATGAAGAAAGCTACCAAGAGGTGATGGGTATACCAGAACACCTCATAGCATGACCTTCTGATGAGCTCAGTAGATGAAGTCATGATCAGAATTAAAGCCACAATTATCACAACTCCAGTTATTCCGGTGATGGTAGCTAGTACCTCTCCTGTTGTGTTCTAGAATAAGAATACATTATTAGTATTAGTAGTTATTCTTTTTATAATCATTCTTTTTATTACTACTTCTGTTACTGTTACTATTGCTACTGCTGCTGCTATTACATATGAAGCCAAAATCTAAGATATATTTTCAGTAAAAGAAGAAAACTAGAACAAGACCTGGAGGTAAACCTCAATTTTACCACAGAAAAGCATGGAAAAACATCCCTTTGCTCTATTTCCACTCAGGCTTATCACAGACACGTGTAAATGTTTACATCACTTATTTATTTCAGCAATTGTAAGAAGGAGATCAGACAGTCTCATTAGTAAAATCATATAATCGCAGAATGGTTTGGGTTATAAATGACCTTGAGATCGTCAAGTTCCAACCCTCCTGCCATGGGCAGGGTTGCCTCACTCTAGACCATGTCACCCAAATCTCTGTCCAGCCTGGCCTTAGAACACTGTCAGGGATGGGGCATTTAACACTTCTTTGGGCAAACTCTTCCAGTGCCATAGTACTTTTATTTAGTTTACTTATGTGAAAGTGTCTCAGAAAAAAAGAGAAATTATTAGAGAAGTGAGATTAGTCCTAGAGATTAAATAAGTAAAACAGCACTATAAACCAGCTTATTCATGTTAAGGTGATAAAACGAGGTGCTAAGACACCTGGAACCATAAAAGTGTGGAGCCCTTTTGTGATTAATTTACTTCAAAGTTTGTGTGTTTTTTAGCAGCCCTGAAATGGTGTATTAAAATAGCATGCTCTCATTTACCTAACAGAATCCCTCATTTACTTGTTTCTTACATTTATCTGGAGATACACTGGATAATAATTGGGTTTATTTTTTAAAAGACATATTTAAATTCACATTTCTATGTTTGTCAGTGATGAAACGTCACTATGCTGGGCTAGAACATGTTCCTTCTTGTTCATGACTCACAGGAATCGGCACAGGTTTGTTACATCTGTCTAAACCCACCAAAATAAACTGAAGTGAGAATGAAGATGTATTTTGAATACAACAGTCAGATGCTGATCTCAGTTATAATGTGCAAATCATGAAGAACAGCAGTAAAAATCTCACATACAAGGCGAGACTCAAGCTAAATATGCCAGCAAAATGTAAATGAAGTCATTTGGCCTGTGAAGCATACATATCAGTTTTCTTGGTGCTGATGCTCAAGAATGAAGGAACTCAGCATGCCTTCTGGATCCTGAGTTGATTCTACAGCTTAATATACTAGGAGTAAAAAAATCCCTATATTGTACTTGTAAAGTGCTCTGATTTGATATGGAAATCCTAGAGGTGATAAAATACCACAATGCCATTTTTCCAGTCACTTTTTACAGTAAAATCATTCTTTCAAATGTTCGCACTTGGCAGCACACAGTACATTTTCAAATTGGTGCCTGTGAAGAGTGTGTTCAGATCATTACCTATTAGCAGCATCGATCTAGGTAATATTTTGAACATTTCCACTACAGTGGCTAGTTTGAATGTTGAGATGAAACAAGAAAAAATGTCAGACACTTAGTACATTGCTGCTGCAAGGGTAGGATGAAGCTGAAATGGAAGCCTGAATTGTTGCTCTCAGAACTTTCTTCTCCAAAGGTAGAAACAGTATTTTATTTGCTTTCCTTCATAATTTATTAATTCTGAATGTAGCTACTGAGGCACAAGTGGCTGATAAAAGAAATACAAATATTGGAGGTTGGGGTAAAATCTAGACTGTAAATCAGAAGGCAATTGTGGGGCATATTAGTGTGAAAAATCTAGGAAAGTATCTCAAAAAATGCTAGCCTAATTCCTCAAGGGTATTTAAGATGTTACTGCTAATTAGAGGCGTACCTCACAATTGTATCACCTAAGTGAAGGCTTAGTGAAGAAAAAAATGCATACTGAAAAATAGAAGGTTCATGTTTATAGCTGTGAGCTTTTTTTCAGTTCCTGGGGAATCTCTCGTGCAGCGAGAGTGGGCACTCTGTTCCGAAAGACTGTGCAGCTGCATCCTTGGCTCACTGTCCTGTTCTGTTAAACCTGACTACTTTGTCTACACTAACATGAAGACTTTTGTGTTCATATTGCTGAGACCATTTATTTGCTTGATTTTTTCAAACTTGAGAATTATTTACTTTTTTTATTTTGAAAGATGCAAAAATCACCCTATCTAAACTGGAAAGGAAGTGAGAAAAAGCAGAACAACATGCTTTGGATCTGAAAAGTACTGTCAAATCCTGCTAATGGTTGTGCAGCCATTGTCTCACTTTGTTTCCTGTTTCAAGGAAGCACACTACTGATCAAAAGAGCCTCACACCATGGTGTTCAAGCAATCTTTATTGCGTGCTGACTACGTGGAAATTTTCTGAAGAGCAGAACCAATACGTGCGAAAGTCTCACCAGGGCATTTCAACCCTCTAATATGTAACAGTATATTACATTATACACAAGCAAACATATAAATGTGATGTACAAAGTAATGGAAAAAGGAAAAAAGCTGATGAGCTTTTGCATGTTTTACATGCACACCTTGCAGAAAGGGGCCGGTTTCTTTTATGAGTATTATAAGGGTTAGCTTATAATGCTGTCGTGAGATACCAAGGAGGTGGACAGGAGGCACAGTCACTTTTTTTCCACAAAGTAAGCAGAACCATTTATTTGCAGGGCTGAGTCCTGCACAGTCCTGCTTAGCTCAGAAGAGTACACAGTTTCCCCATGCACTGCTTCCTATACACAGAAAGCCTCAGGGTGTTTTCACATGTGCTCTTCCTGGACCACCATGCTCAACATGTAACAAGGCAGAATCAACCCCCAGGTTGGGAAAATACTGCATAACCTTGGGGGGAGGCAAATAGCAACTGTGAAAGAAATATTATTAAGTGCTATTTCTGTTTTGTTGGGGGTTTGGTTTATTTACCTTTTTTTCTTTCTAAAAAGAAGTTGTGTTTGTTCCATGTATTAATAGTTTAGGTTTGTTTTTTGTTTTTTTTTTTTATTTTAATTCTTTGCAGGTTTATTTCATTGTCTACAATTCACAACACTCCTTATCCTTCCCCCACCAGCTGTCTCCTGACAAACTAATTAAAATACTGTAGACATTTCTTTGAGCTTAGTAACCTGAAAATTGCAGCTCTCAGTAAGTGTTTTCAGCTGAAATTGAGGTTAACCTTTGGCAGCACCTTCTCACTCTGGTTAAAAGGCTTTGAAATACAGTTTTACCGACAATAGAATCCACAGAGGAAACTTTTTAGATGAGGAAAACCAGAAAGTGACAGCTTACTGTTTCATAGGTCCTGATGGGGTTCAAATAGCTTTCGTTTGGACTCTTGCCAAGGCCAGAAAGTTTATCCGTAACTCCCCAGCTTCTGTAGATTGGTTGGTATGATACCGCTCAATGTTGATCAAGTGGGCAACAATATGGATGGCTTCATGATAGAAAGAGTGGTGTGAAATTACAGACACACTTGTATGTGTCCACAGTGCCAGAAGTAACTTCATTAAGCACATTACAAACTATTTGAAAACCTTGGGCATACACTGAGGACTTTGCAAGAGTTAAAGTGGCAAGAAAAGGAAAATTTTATGAAATACATGTCTAATGTGAAGCAGCTGCTTCACACTGGAGAGGAGACAAACAGCTCTGAGGTCACCTCCATGACTACAGTCAAATGCCCGCACAGTCTTTGGTGTCATCAAAGGAGAACCTCTTGAGAGATGAGATAAAGGTGTTTGCCTCTAATTTTAAATTGTTCAAAATGAGCTAAACTGATTAAAATCCCCCTTTTCCCCCATTAGTGTATTAGGATGTGCAATGGTCTAATATTGCTACGCAGGTCGCTAATTTATCTCTTTTAGGCATAGACCAGTTTGCAGCTTGCACTGGGGATATTTAAGAGATGCGTCCAATATCTGTCCCCTATTAACAAGTAGCTATAGCATTACTTTACACAGGTGGAGCCTGGGAAAACCACCAGAACTATGGCTTAAAGGGAGAAGTCTGAATCACAATGTTAGATCTGACTTACTCTGAGCTTCATATATCAATTCTACTTCTGGCCTGCTCCCAAAGGTATATGAAATGGTCAGTTTAGAAAAATACCTTAGAGTGAAGTGAGAAACCCTGTAATTTTGCCTAGGGGAAAGGCAATAATTTCAAAAGAAGAAAAGAAAAAGAATTTTGTTTTATAATTGGCTAACAGGTAAAGTCATAATCATGCAGAGTTTCAGTTTTCAGGATGAGAGATTCTCAAATCCATTACAGTAAAGTTGTAATTAATGCAAAATATTAAACGCCAAAGGATGAAAAAAATTACAATGAAAAACAATTATATGTTTACAGTAGAGCTATTAGGATATGCTATCTCTAGTTTTTATAATTAGCTTCCCGTTATCTCTCCTTCAGCTTTTATCTGTTCCTGTTCCTCACCATTTAAAAAACCTTTCTGAAAGGCAGTATTTGTCGTAAACCAAATGCGATCTTTTTCCCTGACCAACATTCTCTCAAAATAAGGTTATTTTTCTTCTCTTTTATGTTATCTTTTTCTTTTTCTTTTTTCCTTTTTTATTTCTACTTTTTTCCTTTTTTCTTATTTCTCCTTTTCCTTATCCTTTTCCTTTTTCTTTTTCTTTTCTCCTTTTCTCTCTTCTTTCTCTTATTCCTTCTTTCTTCTTTCCTTTTTCTTCCTCTTTTTTTTTTCTCATTTTTTTTAATTGTAACTGTTTTCATAAAACTAATGTCTTACTGTGCTAGTTGTGCTAGTCACTGTGTAATCACAGATGAAAACACAGGATTAAATGCATCAATACTTTGGTATTGCTAAGTCTTTTAGGTACATATCCGCTTAGAGAGCTCCCTCACCCTGGTGCTGGAGTCAAGCTCCTCTGCAGCACCTATGGAGAGCTGTGGGCATGGGAATACGAGTTGAGGTAGGCTGCTGGCCATGTACATGCTTAAAGCAGGCATTGCAAAAAGGTAGAAGACTGCTCTCTTCCCCAACAGTAGGTTAGTCCATGTGTCCAGGCTGAAGCGAGGTCATTTTCACTCTCTTCTTCTGAGGTGATCTTTCTAGATCAGTAGATGTGCTGGGGTTGGCTGACTTTCAGGTTGCATTTCATTCAAAATATTATGTCACCTTGGGGACTCCCCCTGCCACTCCCTAACACCTGCTTCACCTCATTGCCCCATGCTGAGGTACTCACTAAGAGGTGAAAGGCCTGTTTGAAAATCCTTGTTACCTTGAATTTGAAGTCGGGCTTTAAACTGAATCGCATGTCCTAGTCACCGGGCTGACTATTTATTCGCTTGTGAGCTGTCTCCTAATGACACCCTTAATAAAAATAATCAAACATTTACTGATACAAGCATCCCAAGGGAATGCCCTGAGCACCCAAACTGCAAAACCAAGCTCCCATTTTTTCTGAATCTTTGGCCCAATGAATAATACATTATTTATACAAGCTGGAATAGCTTCAGCAGAATGGAGACTGAATCCAAATGGGTATGAACTGCACAGAGATAAAATGAGCCTGGAAATTAGAAGACAGATTCAAGCCATCAAAGGAATGAGACTCTAAAATAACCTTTCAATAAACGGGATAATGGGATCAAGCAATCTAAGCAGCTTTCAGCTGAAGGTTGGTCATTTTATGAAATAGCATATATGACGTGACTGAGCTTTAGAGGGTATTGAACTCAGTGACCTGGCATGTCGTTGTTATGGATTAGGTGCTGCATGTGAAACAACCCAGCCAGCGTCAGGCAGAAAATGCTCCTGCAAATCTGTATGTGAGAGGGTGCTCCCAGCACCTCAGCAGTGCTGGGATGCTGGAAGGAAGGTTACACTAGACCACAGGCAGCAAGTGAAATGTGTGGATTCAGGCTGTCAAAACCTAAAAGCCTGAGAGTTTCTGAGCTGCAGGGTTTAGGTGGCATCTGTGTGGGGGCTGTGGCAATCTGTTCCCCAGCGTACAACTGATGTACAAGCAGTATATAAACACTGTTTATGTATTTAAGTGTAACAGCACTTTTAAGTGCTGAGTGAGAAGGGGGGAAACTGTTCAAACAAGTGACTCCTTTCAGAACAGATGTTTTGGCCTGGTAAGGGTGCTATCAGATCCAGCTGGAAGAGAACCAAGTCATTGCTTGACAAGGACCTGATTTCTCTGACATCTCAAAGTGAACTCGGAGGACAGGAGTGTGGGGGAACAGACCACAGTCTGTGGTAGGTTATGGAGTTACATGCTGCATGTAGTGTGGTACTGGACTATGGGAAAGGGGAGAGAAATCTTTAAAAGGATGGAAAGCCCTGACAGTGGTTCTCTGAGTAAATCTACTGAGCAGTTGTATCTTGGCATTTGCTGGCGATTACTGGTGCTTGGGCCTCTTGTGCTCTACACCTGCAGGATGCTCGTTATAACTCTGGTATGATGTAATAGTCACCATAGCCTTGGGACCATGTAAGTTTCACACAGTTATAATCCATAGTGTTGTTTTACCAAGGGTTCTCCGCAGCATGTAAACTGCAGGTTTTTGACTGTCCTTGCTCATTTAGAATAGTAACTGACTACAGACAGAGGTTTGAATCTGTTCATAGCATAACACACTTTCTCTCTTTCACCTACAAAACATATAGATTTTTTAAAAAGCAGTGCTGCAGATTGTGAAGTCTGCACGAAATTACGACATTTCCGTTGTTTAGGAGGTTATGAAATCCCACACTTTACTCAAAGTGCAGGGTTGTACATGATTTGTACAAATTCTAGTTATGTCAGCAGCAATAGGAAACCTGGTGCTATCTGGTGTATGCCAGGTGCTGAGGGTGAAATGAGGTGGTAGTTTCTTTCAGACAGACAGAGGTCTACATTTCCTATCAGAGTATTTATTTCTAGTCTTGAACAGAAAAAAAATGGGTTGAATGGATGTAGCTTCCCAAGGTCTTGAGCCAAAGATTTAATGGAGTAGTCATACTGCAATTTTTCCCTGAAAGAAATGATCCGCTTTCTGCAACTTTACCTAGTCAGATTTTTCTGCAGGTTTTTAAAGGACACCATTTTGCCTATCTGCATATTGTTCTGCTTTCCTGTAAGTGTTATGTCAATGGAAATATCATCATACCCACTTCTCTGAGATTTACCACACCTTCCCTTCTGGGTGATATTCCCTCCAGGTTTCAGCTAATGGGTAGAGGATATTGAAAGCATAGAAGACTTCCAGAACGAACAGGAGAGTTTTTTTTTTTTTTTTTCTACAAGCTTTTCTGTGGAAGTTGTTAATGTACAGAGTATAATGGTACACTGAAACTGTTAACATTCAAACTAATGATATACTGAATATGTTGGTTTACCTGAGTGTCCCATCATCTTAAATATTGCCTAGAGTGTTATTAGATTAATGCCTCTGATGGGTTTTGTGTGCTGCTAGGAAAAAATGAATGCAATCTAAAAGTGAATTATAGCTGGATGGTAAGAGTAAGGCAAAGATCTAATTCCCTTTTCAGTGTGGTTCATTTAATGTACAATAGTTGTGGCAGACTAAAAAGTCTTGCACTGGATACATTACCATTAGCTAAAATATTTTACATTTACATCCCTAAAGTGCATTTTCTGAAGGTCTTTGCATCTGCAGTGTATAGAATTTACTAAGCAATTCCAAAATTAATATGCAAATTTCTGAAATCTGAGCTTAGAACAATTGTGAGTTTTTTTCCCTGCACCACTTAGGGAAGTTAACCATGAGAGCAAAGTTTAAGGTATTATATCTTAGGATTTTCATTTCAATTTTTTTCTCATTCTGCATAACCAAATATAAAGTACAGAATGAATTATGTAATCTTTTAAACAAACAGTTTTTTTACATGAAGACTGAAGGCTTTTCATTGCTGTTTTTAGCGTCATCTAGAAAGTCTGGAGCACCTAACATACATTAATTTGTATTTGACCCCAAGATGTTACATCTAATCCATCTCTGAGATCAAATAAAAGGTTTTATTGGGAGGAGGGAGAAAGGAAAAGGGTTGCTATTAGAGCAGTGTGTTTACTGTACATATTCTTAAATACAAAGACATGTAATTAAATTATCTTGAAAGTCTGGTCAATTTAGCTAGTCTTATTCAGCCAATTGTGCCTTCAGTGAAGCATGCACAACTCTGATTGAACTAAACAGAAATTGCATGTGTTTATCTGAGAACAAGATTTCACTCTTTTTCTGCATGCCTGTACAGGATAATAATCAAACTGGAGCTTGCTGCAGGCAGTTAAATGTTTTGGTTAACAAACCCATCACGATAAAATCAAAGAGTCAAATACTGGGTTTTCTGCCCACAGTGAAGAGAATAGCTTTGCAAGCAGCTAACCTAGGCATGGGGAATTCTGCGCCTGACCAAGCCTGGATTTTTTAGCCACACACTGCCTTGTGCCTTTTCTAGTTACACAGGAACCTTCATTCCGTTTCATAATGTCTTTGTGGACTAAAAGGTGCAGGTTCGGTAAAAATTACAATAGTGACCATACACATACTTGCATTGGATTATTTTTTTTTTAGAATGGTCATAAACATCAAAAAAGAATTCAATGGCTTGGACCATTTTTTATCCTAGCGGGAAGCTTGTAATCTTTAATTTAATGTAGTTTCTTTTGTAGTCCTTGCACTAAGTCTGGATTTAAGCAGCATGTCTAAAAAAATGCAGTTTAATGGAAACTGGATTTCCTGTCATTTCTGGAAGTACAACACTGAGATATCAGCTCAACCTCTTTTGAAGATAAGCATCTCCTTCCCTGAAAACTTCATCACTTCTACAAAAGTGTGACTCGGGTCACCAAAGCTTTTTACACAGCCACCACTACCAAAACATGGTTGTGAATGGAAAGGTTTTCTGGTATTTTTAGCTATAGATTTTTCAGTGCTTGTATGAAGCCAAAAGTACCTGGCATTGCTGTATTTCAGTCTGTGTTTTTCATGTTTCTAAAGAAAATTGCAGTGCTGCAATTTTTAAGGAGCAGCAACCACCATCTCAAACAACCTAACTACAAAGTGCCTTACTGTCCTTCCCCTCCTTTCCCTTAATTGTTTAAGCTTTATTCATATCATAGTTCAAAAAGTCTTTGAGCAATATATCTATATAGCCTTTCTGCAAACATCAAAACAACACAAGAAGCAGTTTGTTCTTCAAAATATGCACCGTATGTCAAAGTAAAATAAAACTCTCCCAACACTTCCCACATCAGAAAACATATGAATGTACTTTCTTAAGAGGCTAAAAACAATACATTAAGAGGAAGGACTTGTATGAAATGTTATTTACTATCTCTTGTATGTATCTTTAGGCTCCAGACAACTGTGTCTCGACTGAAAAGTCTCTTTTGCATTAGAAAGCATAGAATGATTTGCACTGATCAAACTGAGAGTGCATGAAACTATGATTTTATTCTAGCAGAGTTACGGGTCTATAAGGAAGATTTATTAGTGGGTGAATAACTCCCAGACAGCTCTTATCACAGACAGGCATGCAGAACGCAGGAAGCCAAACTAAGCAGAATTCCCTTTACTGAATTTTCAATGATGCCTTTGATTATAGATAGCATTGTTTACTCTCTCTCTTTCCTCCAACTTCCCTCTTCCACTAGTCTCTAATTATATCCCTTTATGACCTGACCAATTAAAGCCTGCTCTTGAATTTGTATTAGAGCTGATGAAAAATAGAAGTTACAGATGTAGTTCTTCCAAGGCCATGTGCACCGTGGCTGAGCTGGATGCCTCTTAGAAGCCAGACAATACTAACGTCGTACTGACTATTTTTAGCACGCTATTAAATACGTATGCTGGAATAACACCACCTGGCATGCTGAGATGAATACATGTTACTTTAATAATAAAGGCGTCTACAATTTCATATTGTGAGGCTAAGATTACTGATCTGATCTTCAAATTGGTTTAACTTCTTGCCACCACATTTAGGCTATTGATCATACAGGGAAGAACATTAATTTGACTAAAAGTTACTAAATTGCAATAGACTGATAGAAGTTGACTATGTTTTTGTGTAACAAAGGCAATATAGGTAGTACTTGGATAAGTAATGTGTCAGTTGAAAGGAAAATGGCATGTTTACACATCATTTTAACACTTAAATTTTATTAAAAAGGACTCGGTATACTGGTGGATACCTCTTTATTCTGAAATGTATCTCTCACCATATGTACTGTATTTATTTATTTATTTTTTTTAATTAATTTGAAATTTAATTTCAGGCAACTGGCCATTCTTCCCCAAGTCTGACTATGCAGTAATGCAGTGTTTTCCCAAATATGGTAATTGTTTCTCGCTTGTCTGCTAGGGAAGCATGAGTTCATAAGTCGTCATGCTTTGCTCATTAGACCTCCTTGTATTTTATTTTCTTCCTCAAATATGTCGTCAACTATTTGTTGATTTTATATTCTGGAAAAAACACCTAACCCAAATAACAACCCAACAATGAACCCTCATTTTTTCCCTAGAGAGTGATAGAATTAAATAATGGTGCTTTCTGTCATTTCACATCATCTCCTGTGCCTTTTTCCTTGGAATTACTGAAGCCATAAAGTAATCACTTTTCTGATAGACTTGCACTTCCCAGAATATCCACCTTAATGCACTAGCAAACATTTTTATATGAACGTAAACCCAAAAAACATTAAAGGTTTGACTGTGCCGTTTCGCTTTCTTTCTGGAGCATGACAAATTATACACCAAGTAGAAGTTGGTTAATTTACATTCCTGGGTTGATTTGTTAATTAAAGAAGCAATGTTGCATTCTGTAAGAATCTGCTTTATGCTGAAACTGAACTCTGATAAATGAATGGCCATAACAGATAAGTAAATCATCATAATGCCCTATAAGATGCATTTTCTCATCCCTAATCTCCTTTAAATTCTTCAGCACTCCATACAAAGGATAAATTTCAGCTATTGATTCCTGATGGCAATCCTGACTTCATATTCTTGTCTCACTATGTGGGAACATTAGAAGCCTATACACACAAAGGCAGCTCCCCCATGTAGACTGAAAAAATGTTGGGTTCAGGATCCACTCTAACAGCCTGGGGGTAGAACTGTTACCCTGCAGTGTCTTATGCTTGCAAATAAACCTGTGCCTCATTCACATTTTCTAAGAAAACTATATGCCTCAGATACCTCTCCATCTCTATGTGCTTATGTACTTCCTCATGTTGCCGTTTGTTCTTCCTTCTCTGCATATCCCTTTTCCCCATACTATCTCCTGTTTGCCTCAGGTTCTCTTAATTCCTACAAGCTTCAGTCTTCTTCAGGTCCTTTAATCACTTGGAGAACAGGAAGATGCCATGTCTTCTTCCCAGCGAGGCTCAACCTATAACTCAGTAAGTCACTAGCACCAGCAGAACAGGTAACTTTTGATTTCAAGATCCATTTTTTCCCTCAAGGGTGCCATTAGTTCCCTGTACCCATCCCCTATTTAAAAAAAAAAATAAAATAAAAATTTAGAAACCTAAGGTTTTGAGGCAGCTGCCTGTCAAAAATTCAGATTAAATTTATTACTTGGTTGAAAAGTTGTTGAAGAAGAGGTAGTGGTGCACAGATGAGTGGTTTTACTCATAAGCACAATTTCCTTAGGAAATCAGACTGTAATGCCATGTCATCTCCCCAACGTCTACCCTCAGGAGTTTAATGAAACTCATTTACACTAAATGTTAAGAGAATACAAGCTGCTCATGTTGACTGAATGGCAGCTAGTACTTGTTATCCAGGTTGGGAGGTTATTGACTTAACAGTCAAATTTTTCTCAAGCAAAAAGGTTACAAATAGTTAATCAGATGGGACTCCTACACCTATTTAAAGCTGCAGTCACCAAATGATTGCACTAAAATAGCATGCCTGAGAGCTGATAGGGATTACAGACAGCATTATGCAGAATCACTGTGAAATTCAAAACAGTTCAAAGGCAAAGAAAAAAAGAGGAAATGCTTACTTGCATTTATAGCTATTCCATAGGCAACCATCTTGTGAAATGTGATGTTTTTGTCAAGCTGTCTCCTCAGTGCTTCTCCACAGCACTTGGTGAAAAAGCAGAACTTCTTTTGTATCATTCCTATTACTCTTTACAACTCACATTTTGGAAAGAAGAGAGGAGTTCAGTACTTTTAAAAATGGAATATTGAAGGATTTCAGTGGAAGTTTTGGGTTAGCCTTAACTTTCGGGTTCAGGTGACTATTTTCAGCATAGTGACACTCCAGAGTTTCTTAAGCTGTTAAGCTCATGTAGGGGCTCAATAACAATCTTGATAAAACTCTGCTGCATTTAACTGTGATTTGCGAGTGGTTTATCTGGGCTGGTGGTTAACTCATTTGCTGGTGTAAGGATACCATGATGGGCTACCACTGCTCTGCAAGCTCAGGTTTAGCTGCATAAACACAGCTGAACTGTTGGCAAAGCCAGCTTGCAATGTAAACATTTTCACTGCTTTTATGAAATGCATACCCCAGGAGGGTGAGGCTGTCTAGACCTCAGGTGTCTTCTGTGTTCCTGAGCTGTCTTCCCGTTATTAGAAGTGCTCATGGTGGTGTGCTCATGGCCAGCTGGCTGCCTCTGCAAAGAGCTGGCCTGTGGCTGGGGCAGGCTTAAGTGAGACAAAATGAACATGCTCTGCTGGAACCTAGACAGCTCTCATGGACCTAATTCAGTCTCTGAATGGTGCTGTGGGTGCCTGGATTGATCTCTTGACCTGGCACAGTGCCATGCCAAAGATCCTGGCGTGTATCTGCATTGTTTCCTAACTAATAAATCTTCCAAGTATCTGGAGCACTGCTGTGTGCAATGCCAAAACCACAGCACCTCATTGGAGAGTCACTCACTGGATGCAGCCCTGTGCTGACCATGCTGGAGCCAGTCAAGTTGCTGTGTACCGTGCTCCTTGAAGCAGAATATTGTCCAGAGATCAAAACATTGATTTTCTATGAGAAGAGTTCCAGTTCGCTGAGTTCTTACGCAGCATGTAACTGGGCATGCATATATTTAATGCTAATTCACAAACTGATTTAGAAGTCCAATGAGACTTTGCTTTCTTAAATGCTCAGCTCCTGGTCTCAGACAATGATAAAACGGTGTTGATTCCCAGCCTAAAGACTGATTGAAATGTAATTCTAACTCTGAAGGAAAAAAAGGAAAAAAAAAAAAAGGGGTAGAACTGAACTGAGAACCAACTTACAACAAAATAATGTTACCATTTTTAAATTCCCGTTGTTCTTGGAGTCATGAAGTGATCAGTGTTTTTTTTTACCCAAATGTGTGGTATTGGAATTGCCCTGACTGTAGTAATCCACTGCAAGTGAATTCACTGCATCTGACCAGATGACCACTCCATTACAAAAACGTGTGTAAAAAAAGTAAGACCTGAATGGTGGCCATTCAGGCAAAAGGGTTTAAATATGTTCCTTATTATCCTTATGCCCTCACTTTTATCTATCTGTACATTTTCCCTCTGCAGTTTTTACTTTGTAGCTACACAGGATATACATGATGGATGCATATTTCCTCCATTTGGCCAAGTTGCATTATTACATTCCCTTTTTTTGTAGGTCCTCACTTTTCTCTTCATGACTCCATGATATGCAGTGGCTGCCAAAATCAGTGTTGCGTTTACAGCACTGTGTTAAACAAGCCATTCTTTTCTCTTCAGTCATGAATTTAAGTGGTAATAACTAAGCAATAGTGTATAGACTTCTCTATCAAAAATTAAAATTCCTTGGAAAATGTTTGATATGGATAATACTGCTGAACTATGGAAATAAAAAAGGGAGAATAATGTGGCTATGTAAGAAATGATACTTACAATGCTTGCTCCTCTTAAGAATGAAATAAGGTTTCTACTGATGGGTAACAGGATTAGCATGCAGTTAAAATTAAGGCACGTTGCAGAAGCTCTTGCCCAAGCCAGGGCTGACTGTAGATATAACAGTATAAGGAAATTAAATTACAAGCTTGGTATAGGAAGCGAAAAATAAAGAGAATGCCATATTAACATAATACTCTTGTAGGAGAATATTACTGTTGAAGTATCAAAAATATAGTTATGAAGGATGTCAATAAAATCAGACTATGCATACATACTTCTTGTGGAGCCCTTTAATAATCAAACTTGTACTTACTCCCAGCATAATCCGTGTATAAATGTAAGCATCTTCGTCTTCATACCAGTGGAAGGTATCAATAAACAAATAGAAATTCAGTCCCAGCCACACCAGCTACAAAGCAGACAGGCTACAGATTAGTGACACTTACAGTATTTTTTAATGCATATAAAGTGGTTATGGTTATAGTTTTTAAAGTATCTGAGAGATACTTCAAAATCAGCATGCAGTGCAGTTCTTGATCACAGACGATTGAAATCATGAATGCCTGCTGAAATGAGGCTATCTTTTAGCAAATGCACAATTACAATCCTATTCCCATATCCCCAGTAGAGGAGATAGGTGGTGTTTACTGCGTGATGCTAAACTTGATTTTAAACACAGGTCTTAGCCTGGTCTCTAAGAAGGCTATAAAAGCTAAAATTAAAGAATTCCAGAAATGAAGGGAGTTAGAAGCTGAGGAAATTCCTTTCCTGTCCCCCATACTTAGATCATCAAAACTTCTAGAAAATAATTTCAATTACAATTGCAAACCCTTGTTCCCTTTATCTGAGGTCTAAAGTACATGAACTTAATAATAAAAAAAAAATGAAAGACTTTAAATTGTTTTTAAGACAAGTTAAAAAAAGGCTGATGAATATTTTATAGCAAGTTTTACATTAAGCTTGGGAGTATTACTGTAAGCAAACCATAAAATGTCTTTTAAACAAGCTTAAAATATTTATATGTATCCAATTAGATATATTTTAATGCTAAAAATACTCACTAATAACAGCACCAGGAGTTTTTCATTCAAAATCCAGTATCCCATCCTGAGTGCCTCTCCCTATGTCAGCAGCAGCTGACTTCTGCCTTCCAGTATAACCTGAGTTCTCAGGCTTTTCTACTAACTCCTTTTGTCTTTAGATTTTAATAAGCACATAGTGGGAGCAGAAGCTCTCTCTAGGAATTTTCTAATTAAGGACTGCCTGACAAGAACAGATCACCCAAGTGACATGTCTCATGACCTGTGTAAATAAAATGCTGGTCATTGTCCAGTCCTTTCTCTCTGCAGAGTTATTTCTCAGCAAATGAGATGCTGTCATTAAATTGTCCTGCTGTACTAGAATGCTTTGTCTTTGCAGTTTTAACAGAGGGCAGCATGTCTTCAAGATTTGTCTTTTAATTTAGTGTCAAATGGGAGCGTTCCTTACATGTACATTGCTAAAAGATATTGGGAGTGGCAAAATCAGTCAGAAGTTGGGAATTGTCAGAATGAAGGGTGCCCCTCTAACATTCATCTGGATTTCTTGCAATTACAGATTCTGACAATGTTAAAATGCGTGATAGTTTTTCATTCACTTGGCTTCAGTCCTAAAATAAGCAGTTAGTTTCTCTTTTTCCTATTATGTTGTTCTGTGTGAGGACATGAATCCTACTTCCTTCCCTCTCTGCTAGGCGAAGTAACAATTCCTGAGCTCCTGTGTCAAGCCTCACAAACATCAGCTGCCTTCACCCATGACCTGTGAGGTGAGGAGAGGATGCTTATTTCAGAGATCTGAGCCCAGAGGGGTTAGGCAAAACCATTCCTGATTTGTGCATGTGGCTTGAGCAGGTCTCTCCATGCATGCGCTCCAGACCCTGCTCCCACATTTTGTCTGCAAAGTGATGTTGCTTTGGCAGGACTTAAGGTACTCAGGAAATATAAAACTCTTCCAAATACAATCCACAAACACTGTCCTATGCTAGAGCTTAGCCTTTTTTTTTTCCCCCAAAATCAGCTTTTTATTTATAAAACCAGATGTTCTTGTTCCTCAGAGTTTGTCCTGAGGACTGTTCAGCCTACTTCTTTCTCCTCAGAGGTTTACTCCTGTGATGATCTAACAAGCCATCTGCAAAAATAAGTCAGCAGGATTGAGTATCTCTCAATCAAAAGATCAAAACTTTTTGACAGGCCAGTGTAACAGAGAATGCTGTTAGTCTATTCAAAACTTTTCTATAGTAGGTGGTTATTTGAGCAGCCAACACCATGATTATATTCAATATGAAGAGCAGATTTCCAGATTTGCTTTTACTAAGAGAGTAAGTTGTTGACTTTAATACACTTCTCCAGAGGGAAATACATTCCCCCCTGGCCTCTGTTACAAAATAGCACTGACAACAACTGGGGTAAGGAAGAGATTGCTTTAAAACATGGTCAGTTCCACTGCAGGGAAGTCCTCATGGCTGACCAAGTCTTAGCTCCTCTTTTGTCCTCGTTCTGGTGAGCACATTACATTTACCCTTGGCTCCCCTTGCCAGAAGCCATACAAACTCTGCTTGTAGTAAACTCATTCCTTCCCCAGTAAACCCATTTTCTTAAGGCCTTCCTGACTTGGCTGTGAAGGACAACTTTCTGTCACAGAAAAAATTTCTTAAAGTTGAAATGCTATTAAACTCAGCTACTTTTTATACCAGGGCTAATGACCATTAATGTGAGTTAGCAGAGCCATGGGAATATGGTTTTGAATACTCTGAATGCAAGCAGTTACAAGGGATTTATTTTGAGGTTTATTTCTCTTGAATGATAAAATTAAACATTACTTTTTAACAAACTTTGTGATAAACCATGGGCAGTAATTGGCCACTGTCTATTATGTGACTTGAAATAGGCTATTCCCACAACCACCCTCTTTATAGTAGCTTTGGTAATGCAGGAGCTAACAAGATAATGAGTATTGCTGTATTTTTCAGAAAGGTCAAAAGAAGAAGAAATGAGGGAAAAGGGAAGAAGAATGTGCAGAGGGTGAGGAGAAATACTGGTAAGGTCAGATGCCAATTTTAACTACTTAAAAAAAAGGGGGGGAGTGAAAACCCACTATCTGGATTAGCTGCACTTCAAAGGGAAGTGCTGCACTGAGATGTTCTGCTTTGAAGTTCAGCCGATCCAGACAGCAATTTTCTAAAATGAGTCAAAACTGGCATCTGAAATAGTCTTTTTTTTTTTATTTTTTTCTTTCAGAGTACAGCAGATTCATATGCTGGTTTCGGCTCCAAAATTTGTCTGGATCAGCAGCTGTACTTCAAAGCAGTCCATCTCAGTACAGCATTTAACTTTGAAGTGCATGTGGTCCAGATGCCAGTTCTCTTAAAGGAGCCGATGAATCAACTGCACCTTATTTTTTGTCTGTTGAAACAGCTATGTTTTTTTCTCATATATAACGGCAACGTGTGTGTTCTGTAGTATGGTATCTATCAATAAAAACATAAAGCTAACACAAAAGCTCTTTATTGCTTAATTTTCTATAAAGGAGCTGGTCATCATCATTTTATACTGATTTGCAGTGGTCTCAGCCAATTTCTAACACACACTATTCAGGTAAGACTCAGAGAAGTATATTTTATTGATTAAAGATCTAACTAAAGTCACAGGAAATATTCCATTTTGTTATTGTTTTATCATTATCATAAACTGCAACTGTCCTAAAAAGGATATAGAAGAAGGATGAAAAGGGATTTGTTCTGGCAGCTGGGGAAAAAGCAGTGTTGGGCATGCTGAGTTCCTATGCAAGAGACAGGCAACTCTGTCTTTAGCTTAAAAGGTCAGTTTTTGCATGGAAAAAGGTTTATGAGGTGCTGAATTCTTCCACGTAAGTATCTCAACATTAATGTCAATGTTTATATCAATTGCTGCTGCAGATCTCAATCGCAGTTAGTTATATTCTCTTTGACACTAACCTCTATCTGAGGTTGTTAGTAATTTTTTAAAGTACTTTCAATAGTACTTACCCTTTACAAGACAAATTCATGATTAGCATGAGACTGTATACATATTCCTATATATATTTCATTTTGCTAGGCTATCCTAATTGTACTATTAGATATGCATGCCTTGTTTTTCAAAGGCAAAATAATTTCAGTTGACTCTAAACTTTGCCCTAGCCATTCCATAGTTTTCCTGTGTGCTTGACTTTATGTCTGTTAGTAACCTGGATGAGCTTGATAAGCTTTACGATGCTACATATAGAGATGGATATAGATAAACAAATGATCCAGAGGATCAGAGTGCTTTAATTTTGCAGACCATCCGACAACCATTTAATTGCTGACTATACCAAGAGTGTATACTTTGTATTAGACCACACAAAATGGTGGTTCTGCCGGGTTCTCTAATTTTTACATTATTTCTATGTAATGTTTTGCAATAATGTTTCAGAAGTAAGAGACAGATTTGTGTTTGTTGAATGGATGAAGAAGTGGCACAATATATTTGATAAACCACTCAACTTTTTGAGAGAAACTGCTAAAGCTGATCAGAGTGCAAACCTTTTCCTTTTTCCCCTTTTTTTCTTTTAAAGATGATACTGAAGGAATAGAGGATGAGGCTCAGCTTTGGTTGTTCTTCAGTGCTCTGATTCTAGCTTTGTAAAGGAAACTTAACGAATTTCTCCTAACAGTGGCTGGGTGACTAGTAGCAGAAAAACAGCTATATAATTTTTAGAGATTTTCTTATAGTGTGGTGTTTTTTTTTTTTAACTACCTCATTAATGTTAATGGATTTTTTTATGAACTGTACTCACATTATGAATGAGGGAACTGTTTTGCAGTTTGAGAACTGCAAAGGTCTAAAAGACTTGTCAGTGCCAAAGATTCAAAAATTATCAGATTGTTCTAAAATTTATGAAATTAAGATTATGCAGTCTGGGGGAGAGAGCTGCCTGAGTATTAAGACTTCAAGGGCATCTGGCTTCTTGTTTACAGCTTTTTTCAGTAACACTGTGTTTATTTAAAAAAAAAATATTAAAAATATTGGCCCCAGAAGTGGGCTTGAACAACAACAAAAGATCATGCAGTTATTAAAACACTTGTGATGCAGCTGGCAGAATTAGCAATGGTATAGCAAGTATTGACTATGTTCACAAATCCCATCAGTGGTCACAAGGCATGAAATGGAGAGAAAGTCTTCTGTGTCTATCCAGAAAAGCAGAATAAATTTTAAGAACCCCTTTAAAAATAAGTCTTTTGGTTACAGGTCCAGTTCCTCTTGAACTCCACAAGCCAGTGCAATAAAACAGATACAGTGCGATAAACCACTTCCTTTCCCAGCATTAGAAGACCTGATACTGGTATTAGTAGTACCTCAATTGCCAAGTAGT